TGTGTTGACAGCCCTTGTTTGGTTCTTCACACTCAAGTGAATGCTTGAGCCCCACATTCCAATGAACCTTTAAGAAACTACCACTTGCTAAGTGTTAGGATCGTACCAGAAGGTGTCCACCATAATGCAAAGGGCTATGAAAATACTTTTCCTTTGCTGATCACTTATCAGTCATACATTACAACCAACACGACACATGGCAACAGATTTAATGCAGAAGCACGCGGAAATCCAGCTGTCGTCTAGAAAGGCAGTATGAAAGAGATCTACAAAAATGTAAATGCAAGTCTTCCATTTTGTTTTTTCCTTTTTACCTGATGTTCTAGAAGATATTTTTCTTAAGAATAGCATGTCTATTAACCTGAAATGGGTTAAAAGGATGTTGTGTAGTGCATTACATATTGGGCTGCTAACCATTAGGCTAGCATTTGAAACTGCTAGTCACTTGCAGGAAAAAGATGAGGCTTTCTACTCCCACAAGGATGCACAGCCTCCGAAACCCGCAGACACTTTTACTCCGCGGACACTTCCACTCCGTCCATTGGGTTGCTGGTGAGTCGGAATTGACTAGACGGCAGTCAGTCTGGTTTGGTTTTGGAAATGGATTTGTAATTGTTATTTGAAAAGGAATTAATATTCTAAACTTTCCTGTTTTCATTTGAAATGGGGTAAATATTGATAGGCAAAACTTCCATTTGGAAAGCTTAATGATTTTCAGGGGTTTAAAAGATCCCAAGTTAAAAAAAAAAGATATATTATTCTACAACTACCTATGTAGTTCTGCATACCTGCTTGGGGATTTCCCCTTCAATCTCTATAATGTAAAGCCTCTCAATAGATAAGTAAGCAATGGCAATGGTATAGTTAATAGCTGTCCCATTAATACACAGAAAAGAATGGCAATGGTATAGTTACATTTCTTTAGCAATTTAAACTCCAAACTTGAGTCTTAGAAAAAGCAAAAAGAAATGTAACCACACCAAAAACCCAAGTCACTGCCAACTGAGAGTGACCCTCTAGGGCAGGGTAGGGCTGCCCCTGTGAGTTTCTGACTATAACTCTTCAAGGGCGAAGACAGCCTTGTCTTTCTCCCATGGAGCCTCTAGTGGTTTCCAATTGCTGCCAACTCCTAACCACTCTGGTACCAGAGCTCCTTGAAGAAATATAGCAGTAGTGATAAAATCAATATACACAAGTACCTATCTTTGTATTTTGTAGCACAGCAAAATTACTACCATGTAACTATAATATGCAAGCATGTCACATTCTAATAATTTTACACAAGATGGAGAATTTCAGGGAACTGCATTATAGAAGCAAGGATATTAAGTAATTATTAGGCA